AAGTGAAGGAGGAGCACTCACAGGACCCGGGTCTCTCTCTGTCTCCATGGCAACGTGGAGCAGCAGCAGGGCAAGCAGGGAAGAGAGGGGAGGGGAGAGGGTGCTGCTGGGGGAGCCCAGGAGTGGGCCCCCCCCTGCACCCCCTCATTGCCCTCGCCACCCGGAGTGATTGCTATCGTGGCCATTGCAAGGTGTTGGGGTGCCCAGCTGGAGGGGCCGGGGGACCCCCTTCCTCTGCAGGTGGGCATCTCCCAGCCTGGCCGGAGCGAGGGAGTTGCTGTGCCCAACTTGTGCCGTGGCCCTTGGCACCAGGTGAAGCCAAGGCTCCCTGCACTGGTGCCCCCCACCGTGGACTCTCTCCACCCCATCCTACCTCGGTGCTCGGCATCATGAAGCCCTCGGTCGTCTTTAGGGACCAGCTGGGCCTGCGCCCCCAGGGCCCCGGAGAGCGCGAGCAGCCCCGAGGCGCTGCCGATGCTGGCCAAGGCGCTGGACTGCATGCCCGAGGGGTGCGGGGTCAGCGGGATGGGCGGCGCATGGTGTGAGAGGTGCTGAGCCTGCAGCTGGTGCTGGGGAGAGAGACAAGGGGAGAAGGCAGCTGGGTGAGACACGTGGCGGCTGCAATCCCGGCCGGCGCTTCCCGGGCCTGTCCCTGCGGCCCGGACATGCCACACGGGCTCGGGGCTGGCAACCCCGCACGCTGAGAGCTCCGGGAAGTCACGGGCTTGGCATGGCCTCCCTGTACCAACGGCTGCACAGGTCATTACCCAGAAGAGGACACATTTTGGGAGACTAGAGGGGGTCACGGCAGGGCCAGGCCATTGACCAACGGGCCCACAGCCTGCAGCAACTGGGCTCCCCTCTGCAGCAGGGCAGCGTGTCCAGCACCCGGGCTCGGGAAGTCTGCAGCAGGGGGCCCCATCCTTCAGGCCTCCTGTGCCACGGGGATATCCAAGGCAGATGGGGGACAGGAGCCAAAAAGGCAGGAACTGCTGGGCTGCAGCTGGTGGGGGTGGCTGGCGGGCAGCAGGTAGCCAGGCTGGAGCAGCAGCAGAAAGCAGCCTCAGCGACGAGCCTTTGCTCCAGGAAGCCGAGCACCGTGCCCCCTCCTCCCCGTGCCTTGGGCGTGAGCCAGCTCCAGACGGCTATTGTTGGAGGCTCGTGGTCAGAATCCCTTCCCACAGGACATCTGTCAGCTTCGCTTGTGAAAGACACGCCAGCCCTGGCCAAACCCGCCTCCCCGCTCCCCGACACCTCTGCGCAGGCTCTGCCCCACGGCGCTCGGCCCCTTGGGGGTGGGAGACGCAGCAGGGCGGAGGACTTTTTCAAAGCTGCCACTTGCAGGCTCACAAGCTGGGGAGTCGCCTGGCTCGGCCGGCAGGTCTCGCGTCGCCCAGGCTGAGCACGGGGCGAAGGGCTGAAATCGCGTCGATCGGGCCCGTGGAATCAAGGGGGCACTTGTAGGTGTGGTCGCGGATGCTTCAGAGCCTCAGATGGAGCAAGCAGCCACCGCAAAATGGCAGCCCATGGCTGTTCCCTGCCTGGGTTGGTCCCTGTGGCGCTCCCCAAGTCTCTTCTCCCAGGCGGCTGCCTGGCGCACGGTGCCTCGGCAGTTGTTCCCACAGCTGAAAGGCTCCCTCGCGCTCATTAGCTGCAGTCCGGACGCACGGTGCTACCAACCCCTTCCACCACATCCAGGCTGGCAACCCCCATTCCCGGGTGCCGCGCTGGCCAAGATGGTGTTCGTTTATGCCGCACGTTGATCTGCCATCTTTCTTCACCCAGGTCCTGAGGCCTGGCCTGGCCGCTCCAATCCAAGGCATGGGCCGCTCTGCCAGCTCCCGAGCAGGCAGGAAAGCAGCATGAGGGGGTGGATCCTGGTTTCCTGGATGCTTCAGATGCCCCTGGCCAATGGGGCTGGAGAGCCACGTGTCACGGGGCCCTCATGGCCAACACAGCAGCCGTGGGAGACACCTGAGGGCTCAGGTGTTTCCTCACACGCCCCCTCCTACACAAACACCACCCCTCTGAGGCAGGGTGCCGTCTCGGGCAAGGGGAGACGCCAAGCCTGGAAGTCCGGGAGTCTGGGCTTTCCTTCCCTCCACCACCGGCCTGGAGGAAGAGAAGCTGCGGCCTCTCCTGGGCCTGCTGCAGCCAGCTTCGCAGGCAGGGTGAAGCTGCCATGGCCCCATCGGGATGGGGCCGTGGTGGGGGAGAAGACTACGACCCCAGGGCAGGTGGGGTGGGGAGGGGATGGCTGAGGCCAGCCATGGGGGAGCAGGGAGGTGGTTCACATACCCCAATGGCCGCATTCAGCTCTGCCATAGTCACCTGCTTGGCTCGCTCCACTGCCTGGACCACCTGCTGCTGGTGCTGGAGGGGACAGAGACCTGCCGTCAGCTTCCAGGGGGAACGGCTCCGGCCTCCCTCACCCAGCCCCGACAGAGCCCCGGGACCCTGCCCGCCCGCCCGCCGCACCCACCTCCTGCGACAGGAACGGGATGAGCTGGGC